CACTGTGTTGTATGTCAAGATTGGTTATATTATCATGCTAGTCACAGTTATCGCATTGTCATTTGGGGTTTATTTTTTGCCATCTCGTCAGAGATTAGCCTGTCTCGCTGTAGAGACCCTTGGCATCATAGGCATGCTCTTGGGTATCCTCTTTGGATATCTTTTGCCAAATCGAAGCAATAAGAAGATGGTGTTCCTCGACAAATGTTGTATACCCCAGAGAGACGATAGTGCTAAGAAGCAGGGAATATACAACATGGACAGGTTCCTTACAAAGTCGAAGCAACTCCTCATCCTCTGGACCCCGAACTACTTTTCTAGACTTTGGTGTGTCTTCGAACTGGCTTGCTATCTACGTGTTCATAGCGACAGATCGACTCGCCTGATATCTGTTCCACACTTCAGATTTTTCGTCTATGTAACGATCTCCGAGATCGGTATTCTCCTCATTGTGAGATTATTTGGCGAAGTTTTACCCATGGACGATCCTCGACAATGGTATACGGTGTATTTCGAATTGTCGATTGAAGTTTTGGTATCTTTCGCTCTCTGTCTGGTTGTCCTATTATATTTCATACCTGCCCAGTCTGCTCTCATTGCTCAACTGAAGTCTCTCTGCGTTGCATCGGCAGAATGTTCGTGGGATAGCGACCGGAAACTGTTAACAGGTATAGTCGAAGGTTGGTACGGTTCGGAGCAAGAATTTGAAAGAAATGTTCGCACGATGTTCTTACGAAATTGGTCACGGCAGCATATTCTAGTCCCGCAAGCTCTCGCGCTCCTGATGTTCCCATACGTCTGCCTGATTGCTCCACATATCGCGGCCGTCCTCTCCATCTCTTCGAGTCATCCTCGTCATCTCGGGCCTTCTGATAGACTACCCGCTTACGTGCTCGTCCGTGACGCTTTCGTGGCGATCATACTATTAGCATGCAGAACGCCACTTGTGTTGGGATTGTGTCTGCGAATGACCCACATCATGAGGAACCGGTTCGTGATAATGTTCATCGTCGCGGTCCTCGCTTGCCTGTACCATATAATGGTTTACGCTTTTACTGCCGGAATCATGTTCAGTCTCAGTAGACGCGATCTTGATATGTTAGGTGTTCCCGATCCGTATCGTTGGATGTCTGTGGGCCTAGCTGTGCTTGCGATCGGGTTAACCGTTAATTGTTAACGTATGTTGTCAATTTCGGCTGTGGCCGAGTCTATTGTTGTAATCGTCAACCACGTAATTGAATATCCTATTTTCCATCACGATGTAGTAATTTCGTTCATCTCTATTGAACTCTATGTAGTCGTAAGTCGAATTATCAAATTGGTCTGGTTAGGTGTGTAGAAGGGTATCAATTCTGAGACACTCACATGCTAGACTGGGTGCCTTTCTTTTTCACCTCTTTTCTGCCTTGTCATCTGCTGAGGTAGTGTTACAGTACCATTGAGTAGCAAGTGCCGCTGCAACTTGTCGGCTTCGTATAATAGAGGTTTCATCTGGTCGCTCGAGATTTTTCACTCAAGCTCAGGCTCTTATCTCATGAGTTAGATTCTCGAAGGCTTAGTGAAGGTTGAGTTAACAACCTCTGGGGGCATACTTCCTGCGAGTTGTCGGATGAGTCGTCGCATTGAGTGTTACATTTCCGAATGTTGCTCCGCCTGATCTCAGGATTTGAATCAGACCAGTCGCCTTCTATTCCGATAGCACGTGAATTTAGAAACTCCACTTTCGACAGCACGTGGATTTAGAAACTCCATTTTCGACAGCACATGGATTCAGGAACTCCAATTGCGACAGCACATGGATTAAGGAACTTCAATTTCGATGATGCAGCTTAATAACTCTGACTTAGACA